AATAAAAAGTACATGCTTGGGAAAAAGACTTCTAATTCTCCTCCAGTATCTGTTCTCCACTCCTCCCTAGTGTACTCGGCCCCTGATTTTCAGTGGATTCATGGATGCTGAGTACACAGACCACAGTTATTTCCTAGCCTTCTTTGTGGGTCGATACGGTCTTGTGCGTAGATCCTAGCCCTAGAATATAAACAAAAATGTCACGAGCGATTTCTGGAAAGAGTCCGTAAGAGTGGAGGCACACCCCTCTCAACCCCTTCCCCCGCGTACTGGCCAAGACCAGAACATAAATGCCGGGGGCACCTCTCAGACCACTTGCTGAGGGTGGCGGAGCAACTCAACTGCATCCTTAACGCGGGGGGCCGCACGCTGGTGGACCCTGGGCTGCCCATCTCGGCCTCTCTCATTTACGGGACAGAGAAATGAACCCAAACCTCAATCCTGTTTGAAACACTTTAATTCGGGGATACCTGTCTAATCCTAATTGACCCAGAAGCTGGTACCCAAATGGGGTGTGCAAGGCTTCGATCTCACGCATATCACCAGAAATGCGACCTGAGAGAGAGGGAGGGTCATCGGGGCAGGGAACAGTGGAGACCGCTCCTGTCAAACAGCAGCAAAGCTTCTGCTAGAAGCCTGGCTTTCTACAGCTTGGGAGGAAGACCATGCAACTGTTAGAAGCGATACCATTATAGGGACTAGCTCTGAACACTCACAACGTCAGTGCTTCCATCCTTGACACTCAGCAAAGTTCACTGAATGAAAGGGACATGATCTCCACAAGAGCTAGTTGGTCTCAAAGGATGGAAAAGAAAACAGATCTGATAAGCGGTCGGCCACCAGCAATCTACGCTGGAGCCTCCGGGGCTGTCCCTGCAGCCCCCATAGGTGGTAAGACAGATGCTTCACCACAGACAGCCTGCAGCCTTGTGCCAAAGTTGTCATCAAGGGATCACCCACACCACCGTTTCGTTCAGCCAAGGGACCCGCCATCTAATTGGGTGAGAAGAGGATGGGCAGAGTATCAGGGCCTTTAAAAAACCAGAGTTTTTAGGCTAAAAATCTCAACTCGAGATAAGATCTTTGATGGTTATTCACACAGAACCATCAGAGGCCTACTAAAGTTTTCAGAAACATCTATCTCCGCAGAAACCATTAGGCTGACCTAAAAGGCTGTGATTTCACCCTAAGAACAGTAATATTCAGACCCCTCGAACCCTCACCAAGAGTGGGTGTCAGAAGCCCATCCCCTCTGATGCACATCTCAATGTGTTACAGTCAAGACACTCCCAAAAGGCAAAGTCATGACCCCAAGGACACCAGGCCAGATGCATGACCAGGAAACCTACCTACTGCCTGTTCAGGGAGTCCTTCCCTGCCCAGGGGATTCCATGGTCCCCATCTCACCCCCACAGCCAGCGGCAGAGTACACGTCTGTTTTCACTAGCAGACTGCCAGACCTCAGTGAGCCACGTCCAGCCCTGACAGAGAAGGTTCCATCCCCAGAGATCCTGAATCTGCTCGAGAGGAAGTAGACTAGTAGAGCTACCTTCCTGGAGGAGGGGGTGAGAGTTTTAGATGGGGCGGGCGGGGGGGCGGATACAACACAGATATTTGGGACTGAGGTAGAAATTGCTGGCTGTTCCCCACCATGGGCTTCCCCCTCCTTTCTTAGGAAGGGAACTCCCAATTTTTAGCTGCAACAAGTCCCCGCAGGTGGGGGGGGGAAGGGCAGAGAAAAAAGATTTTAGAAACCTTATAATAAAGATCTATTATATAACTTAAATTTTACTTCTATTCCAGACCCTGAGGAAAGAGCCACAGAAGTGACAGATATAAAGAGAGAAACATGCATGGAATTCAAACCCAGGCCACACTTTTGAAAATTCTTCTTGCTCTGCATAATAGACCTATGGATGTGGTCGGTCCACAGGAACAATTCCATATATGGTAAATTCTGATACGTAGCTTTCTACACGCTGGTATGATACTGGAGTTTGACTCTGATGACCCTAGGCACTAAAAGATTCTGTATGAGGGCGCCTGGGTGGCTCAGTTGGTGAGGCGACTGCCTTGGGCTCAGGTCATGGTCCCGGAGTCCTGGGATCGAGTCCCACATCGGGCTCCCTGCTCAGCGGGAAGCCTGCTTCTCCCTCTGACCCTATCCCCTCTCATGCTGTTTCTCTCTCTCTCTCAAATAAATAAATTAATTAATTAAAAAAAAAAGATTCTGTATGAAACTGGTTGATACATGTAAAGTACATTGAAGCAGTCAGTATCTGAAAGATAAAAGCTTTCAATACATTAGCTAGTATTATTATTATTATTATTATTATCATTATGACAATAGACTGTGCTTCCATGAGGAGAGCCCATGTGGGATCAAATATAATATTGGCTATAGACATGGTTTTGGTCTGGGGCATGTGGGTGGCTCAGTCAGTTAAGAGTCTGACTTTTGATTTCGGCTCAGGTCGTGATCGCGGGGTCGTGGGATCAAGCCCCGCATCGGGCTCCCCACTCAATGCGGAGTCTCCTAGAGAGTCTCTCTCTCTCCCTCTGCCCCTCCGCCCCTGCTCTCACACTCTCGCCCTCTCTCTCAAATGAATAAATGTTAAAAAAAAAAAAAAGAAAGAAAGAAATGGTTTTGGTCTTACTCTTAGAAAGGAATAAGCCATATTTATCCATCTCATGGTCCCTTTGTGGACAACTGTGAGTTTTCGGCATCAAGGTGACCTCAAGCTCCTTCTCCTAAAAAAGGCTACAGCCCATCCACCCCACCCCACCCCCAGGAACTTCTCAGCAGGCTTGCTGACTCACGAGGCTGCTGTGAGTAACTGTATCTCGCAGTGTTCGGAAGGAAGCCATGCGAGCCGTGCAACAGGACATCTGTACGTTACGGTGAGCAGCCACTATTTATTAATGCGGGATCTGCTCTGTGCCAAGCAGAGGGATTAATCATTAATCATCAAAGCTATTTCATTCTCTGTGCTCTACAGAGACCAGGCAAGAAGAGAAACAAAGACACTTCCTAAATGCCCTTGGAAAAGCCAAAATATTTTTCTCTTCTGTAAAAATAAAAACTCGTAATCCTACAGAAGGTTCTGACTCTGCTATTGTCCGGCTCAGCTACACACTTTTCCAGACTTAAGTTGCTTAAGACAGAATGTAAAAAAAAAAAAAAGTTCAGTATCAAAAAGGAACTTACCAGTATTCAAGGGTACTAAAGCAGTGTATTTACACGGCATTTTCTTTCTATCCTAAAACACGTGCTCACCAGGATGTAAGGAAACCCAACCATCTGATTACACAGGAGATGGGTCATCCACTCTAGAAGGCTTGCAGCCCTCTTAGTAATCACTGCCCACTACACGAGCTCAGAGACCGTAATTCCAGTGGTTCAAGATCGTCCCAACATAAAATATTCTTCACTTACTGCCCAACAAAAATGGACAAGTGCCAGTGTTTTTCTTTTTTTTTTTAAGATTTTATTTATTTGAGAGAGAGAGAGCACGAGCAGGAGGAGGGACAGAGGGAGAGAGAGAGAAGCAGACTTGCCACTGAGCAGGGAGCCTGACGCAGGGCTCGATCCCAGGACCCTGAGATCACGACCTCAGCCAAAGGCAGGTGCTCACCGACCGAGCCACACAGCCGCCCCATAAAGTGCCAGTGTTTTTTCCATCTAAATTTAATCTCCCAAAATCCTATGTCAAATGCCATGTTTGATTTTTTATTTGGAAAATAAGATGATAATAGGTCCCCTTTTCAATATAAATAGTGTGCGCTTGAGTAACAAAGGATTATCACAGAGTTTGCGCAAGCAAGTAACAATTGCTCCATATACAAACACAGGCTTTTCCCTTCTCATCGGAGGGCACGGGACTGGGTAGGAGGGGAGGCAGGAGAGGGAAGGGAACACTGAAAAAAAGTACCTATGACAACACAAAATAACCCAGCAAATAAGAACTGTTCACGGCCATGGCTCCTATGTCCCTCGCGCTACACCCACCTCACTCTACTGATTCCGCTCCACGAATGCTTTCTCTACACACTATTCACACAAAACCGCCAATTCCATGGCTTTGACGATGACAGTCAAGAAAATTCTAAGGTTATCTCATCATTTTATAACAACATATTATCAAATTCCAGAAATGATTAAGAAAGACCAACATATTTCCCTACGGTGAATTATGCATCTAATTGTGCAGTCCCATGAGTGAAAATGCCCAGGAACTGTGAATCCAGTGGGGTGTTTGGTTTTTGTTTTTGTTTTTTAGTTTTACATTCCTGAAATTTTAGTCCCATGTTGAAGGAAGACGCCTTTCTTATTCACTCCCTCTATAAGCCTCCTTTTTAAACTATCTCAATATAAGAATATTAATACTAATTTAAGAGTTAAAAAAATTCCTTTCATCTGTTTGTCATTTTTTAAACTTTAACCAGTCTATGAAACAGAAGAAATAAGAAAGAAAACTCAGTAAGAATAAATCTCAAACATCTAAATAGGATTAGAGAGCGCCTGCAAAATGTATTGAATAGGGAACATATCAAAATGGGTTTCCAAAAGTACGAAGTTTCCGATTCATTTCAACTGACACAGCTCATATGTCGTTCAAATGTGCTGTCCTAGCCCCTCCACAAAACATCTTCTGGCTACGACAACACAAAAATAAAATGATGGCCTGAGTAATAACACCACTGGGTAAAGATATTTTTCCATAAAGTTTCTTCCGAGGATCATCTGAAAGGTCAACCACTAAGGGAAGGAAGAGGGTCACAATACACAAAATCCCCTTGCTTTCAAATATAAACCTGTGATCAAGGAACATTTTTAAATTTTTCTTCCTACATTTTACCTCTTCTAGGACCACCTTGCTTTGCTAATGGGCTTATTGAGAGTTCCCCTTCGTTTCTACCCCTTCTCCCCCAACGCTGGTCCGACAGGAGACTCCTCTGGACTCCTCTGAGCAGGTGCACAAAGTCTGGCCAGAACTTACCCGTCCAGAAGGTTCATTGTGGTAGGCGTCACTTCGGCAAACAGAATTACTTTTCCAAGTCGCTTTGTCTGCAGATTCTGTCGGTAGATGTCTAGGTTAAAATTTTCTGAAGAGAAGGCCTCCACGTCAGTCACCACAGGTAGAGCAGATGGACTGATTTCTATTTCAGACGTGTAGGATGAAAGAAACTTGAGGGAGAGCTTGCTGGATTTTATGACTCCTTCAGGATCCACATGCTTCTCCAGCCACCGCATAAGAGGATCCCAGATTTCCTGTGTTACAAAGAAATGAAAAGGTCGTCATTTGGCATTACAAGAGGTGATGGTAGCCTTTCCCTAAAATGCCACTTTGGTAATATAAGTACTTCCTAATTCATGACCAGGAGGAGCTGGAGTAACATATTCCAAACATCTGTGCTATCACAGAGTAAACAATAAGTATATGAAATATGCTTATACCAGGGGCGCCTGGGTGGCTCAGTTGGTTAAGCGACTGCCTTCGGCTCAGGTCATGATCCTGGAGTCCCGGGATCGAGTCCCGCATGGGGCTCCCTGCTCGGCAGGGAGCCTGCTTCTCCCTCTGACCCTCCCCCCTCTCATGTGCTCGCTCTCTCTCATTCTCTCTGTCTCAAATAAATAAATAAAATAAAATAAAATAATAATAATAATAAAAAAGAAATATGCTTATACCAGAAAAATACACTTGTCCCTTGAACAATGCAGGTTTGAACTGCGAAGGTCCACTTACGCTCGGGCTTTTTTCAATAAATACAGTACAGCGCTGTAAATGTATTTTCTCTTCCATACGCTTTTCTTAATAACCTTTCCATTTCTCTAGCTTACTTTCTTGTAAGGAGACTGTATATAATACACATAGCACACAAAATACGTGTTAATCGACTGACTGTTTATGCCATCGGTAAGATTTTCAGTCAACAGTATGCTATTGCTAGTTGAGTTTTTGGGGAGTCAAAGTTATATGCTGTGGATTTTCGACCTCCCTGGCAGGGAGCGGGGTGGAGGGGAGGATTCTCCTAATTCCCACACTGTTCGAGGATCAACTGTAAACTGTTCAGAAGCCAGGATCCAAAGAAATAAATGCACCTTATTAAACTTTCTATCCTACATTATATCGTAAATACTTAAAAGTCTTCTCCGGCTCTAGAGTTCATTAGTAATTCTCTAGTCTGTGCCTTTTGCAGGAAATTTACAGCTTTAAACTTTCGCCCCTCAAGGAAATTCTTATCCTACCTCGGGAAATACTGTAAAATGCCAGAACAGAAGTCACAGAACACAAGGCCCTAAGATAAGAGCATCCACTCTCCCCCTCTGGAGGACCTCTACCCCCTCTCCTAGACAAGCTGACCCCCACCAGCCACTGACAGGTCACCAGCAGGGGGAACGTGACTTTTACATGGGGAAATAATGGGGAACCCAACAGCAGCCTCCACTTTGTCCAAATGTGGGTCCAGGGGGGGTTGGGAGGGAGGCAGAACCTACTAGAAACCTTGCCTAATCCAGAACAGAGCTCTCTATTCCAATCCCTACAACAAGAAGGGGTCTGGGAGCCTCCAGCAGGCTGCAACTTCCTCTCAGGCCGTGGACGCCCCACCCTGGAGGGACCTCCCTCTGGGGTGGGGTAGGAGGTGGGGCACCAGGGAACTACGGGATCAGGGGAGTCATCACCCTGAGAGGCCAACACCAAATGTATTAAGATCAGAGAGTCACAGTAAACACAGATCTAGGCTCTTAGGCCACCTTCATGCAAATGCTGGGCCTTTCGAAAGAGGAAAGGTGCCCTTCTGTTAACACAGGGTATGCCCCAAAGCTGCATGTGGCCGCAGAGAAGCAGCTTCAGAGATGAAATTTCACTGAACTAAACTCAACTAATGGACCATTAAAATGTACTTCCACTTGACGAAAAATATAGAGGACAGAAGAACAAGTTAAATAACCTTGGGAGGAAGGAATCAGAAGAAATCGAGAAGGTGAGATATTTCACAAAACAAGAATTGGCAGGGGCACCTGGGGGCTCAGTTGGTTAAGCGACTGCCTTCGGCTCAGGTCATGATCCTAGAGTCCCTGGATCAAGTCCCGCATCGGGCTCCCTGCTCGGCAGGGAGTCTGCTTCTCCCTCTGACCCTCCTCCCTCTCATTCTCTCTGTCTCAAATAAATAAATAAAATCTTAAAAAAAAAAAAAAAAAACAAGAATTGGCAAGTCAATGTCACAGGGGCCCCAAAGGCGGAAGGGGGGTGGGAGGGTGAAACCCCGTCTGGATGAGGAGAGACGTGAAAGACACTATCAAATACAGTGAGTGGCTCTTCACCGCATTCTGGTTTGAACAATTGAGCTGGAAGAGACATTTTGAAACAATTGGGAAATTTGAATCTGGACAGTATGGATCAGACAACAAAGACTCACTGTCAGGTCCAGTAGGCATGATAACGGTACCGTGGTAATGTAGAAACACAGCCTAAATGGTAGAAATGTGTATGTGTCATGGTATCTGATGAAGCAAATAAGGCAAAACACTAATAACTGTTAAATTTAGACCATGTGTATTTGGGGTATCTGTCACACTATTCTCTCTATTCTTCTCTAGATTTTAAAACTCTCATAATTAAAAATAAAACAAAATGGGGGCACCTGGCGGCTCAGGCGGTTAAGCGACTGACTCTTGGTTTCGGCTCACATCACTATCTCAGGGTCGTGAGATCGAGCCCCGTGTCGGGCTCTGTACTCGGTGCGGAGTCTGCTGGTCCCTCTCCCTCCCCTTTTGCCCCTCTCCCCACTTACACACACACTCTTTCTCTCAAATAAATAAATAAAATCTTTTAAAAAAGTAAAAAAAAAAAAGATAACACACACACAAATGGTAAAATAAATACTGACTATTATAAAAATATCAGATTCAACTAAAATGTTTTGTCAATCCATTCATGCGACAAATATTATGATATTATGGGGTGCCTACCACCATATGGTAGACTTTCTTATAGGTTCTGGACATTCAGTAGTGAACAAAGGAGCCAAAGTTCCCATCCTCAAAAGGCTTATATCCTAGCATGGGAGTCAGATCATTTTTATAAAAATTCATCAGCACAAGACATAGAATGTTAGTCATAAGTGCCAAGGAAGAGACGATAAGCAGAGAAGAGAGATAAGAAGTGTTGGAGGTAGGCCATCGTGGGGAGGGCAGATGAACCCTGGGGGGAGGGAAGAAAGGAGGGTGGGACAATGTAACCCACACAAGCCCATAGCTCTTCTCTATTTACATAGAGGATTCCAAGGAGGAGCAGAGGCCCAAACGGGAGCATGAGGGAGGGAAGTGCCCAGAACGCAGAGAAAGCCAGGAGGCAGCCAAGGAGCCCAGAGGACAGAGGTAGAGGGGCACCCACGCCGTGCAAGGCCTGAAGGGCCACAGCAGGGACTGGGGCTTTCACTCTGGGGGCAATGAGGAGCCCTGGAGGCTTCAGGAAAGGGAGTGTGGTGACCTCCCGTGGTCACAGTCACCACAGGATCACTCACTCAGCAAACTGCCCTGAGCACAGATTAAGGGGGAGCAAACACATGGGAGCAGACAGCAGTCAGGAGGCCTCTGAAGCTCCCGGGAGGGAGATCCTAACACCTGGACAGGTATCACAGCGGCCATGAGACTGACATAGAGGCCGCAAGATGCGCTGAAAGATCACCCTTGGGATGTCAGAGGGAATGGGGAGTCAAAAATGAGCCCAAGCAACCAATTCAGCCAACTTTATGTGTAAGACAAGGAAATAAAGGCTTACTTCTCTTAAAAAAAAAAAAAAGAGCCCCACATTTCTGGCCTAAGTACCTGGAAGGATGGAGCTGCCCCCGGAAATACTGAGTGGGGAGGGAGGGAACAGGTGTGGACCGGAAGAGCCGGTTCTGGGCACATCACATGTGAGACACTGGTTAGAAATGCACAGAGGCAGCGAATAAGCAGTAGGACATGTGAGTCAGGGATCTAGGGGAGAGGTCCACACCGAGGACATAAATGTGGGGATCTCCAGACTGCGGATGATAATCTGAAGGCAGGAGACAGGCTGAGAGCAACGAGGGTGCGACTGCAGATGAAAAGTGGGTTGCACCAGTTTCCTGGGGCTGCCACTACAAAGTGCCACAGACTGCGGGGCTTAGACAGCAGAAATCTACCCCCCCACAGTTCCAGAGGCTGGAAGTCCAAAATCAAGGCGTCGGCAGGGCCACGCTCCCTCTGAAGGCTCTAGGAGAGAATCTGTTCTAGGCTCCTCTCCTGGCTTCTGGTGTTGCTGGCCATCCTTGGCTCCCTTCCCTGCGTCTGTGTCTCTTGTCCTCTTCTTCAAAGGACACTAGCCATATTGGATGAGGGCCAGCCCTAGTGACCTCATCTTAACTGGATTATGTCTGCAAAGACCTTATTTCCAAATAAGGACACCTTCACAGGTTCTGGAGATTAGGACTTCAATGTACGTTCTGGGGGGACAAAATTCAACCCACAATGGGTGTCAATGCTTAGATGTCAGGGAGATGAGGAGGAGTCTGCAAAGGACACTGAGAAGGCAAAGGAAAATCAAATGTGCATGCATAGGGTGTGGGAGCTCCGTGGGAATTCTGGGGTCCAGTTTCACAGGCGGCTAGGAGACAGGAAGATGATGGTAGGGCAGTAAGAAGAGGGCTGAGCAGTAACCACTGGACTCTGCAAGGCAGAGCCCATCGGGTGCAGGCAAGTCTGATGTTATTAGGGGAAGGAAAGAAACCACAGACTCCAAGAACAAAACTTTGGCAAGGAGTTTCCTCTAGGGGAAAAAAAGACGGGGGCAGTGGCTACAGGGAGGAAGGGAGTCCTCCAAACAGGTATGGTTTGGTTAAATGAGAGAAATAACAGCATGTGTTTTAATGATGATGTGAATTGTCCGATCCAGAAAGGTAACAGGTGAACAGGTGAGGACTGGATCCTGATGCTCAAGCAAAAAGGTCAGCTTCAGGAGCAGAGCCCTCCAGCACTGTGATGGACAGGGTTCCACATCGCCTGCTTCCAGGAACCAGACACCAGCCTGCTTCCCCACTGGGTTGCAGCCCTCCCTCACCCCTGCTGGCTGCATAGCCATCCAGGACAGCCCTGGGAACTCAACTATGCTACCACTATTCTGCTCCCAGGCTGGCAGGGAGGTAGGAAGGAGTTCCGGGCTGAAGGCTGCTGACATCATCTTTGGATTCCTTCTGTTTTTTTACTCAATAAATAAACAGCAAGATCATCAACTAAGAGTGAAA